GAAAAACAAGGAAGTGTGGGAATCTCCTCCTACACTGTGCTTCTACAACAGCCCTGCCAGGTACTGGGCTCTTGTGCCTGTTCCAGTCATCATGTGGCTTGCTTCAGCCCTCCACCACATTCACAACCACTTATTTCCTTGGCACTGGTTAGAATGCTCACTAACCTTGGTCTAGAAAATGTTTTTATATGTTTTCATTTTCATTTGTTTCAGAAATTTTAGCACATAAAATTTAAATGTTCATCTTTTTGTATTGTTATATGCTAATGAAATGGCCTCACAAGCCCCAAAGAAAGCTTTTTTCTCCATTCACAGTCAGTACTCTCCCAAGTATAAATGATCTTCTAATCACTGCTCTCACTGATTAGTCTCTCATGCTTCTCAACTTCATCTAATAGAATCATACAGTATGTAACTTTTCTACATGATAGTTTTCACTCAAAATTATGAAATAAGTTAATCTATGTAATTGTATAAATCATTAGTTAATTATTTTTCTATACAATGCCAGACTATTAAGAGAAGACAATTTAGTTACCATTCCCCCATGGTACAAGTTTCTGTCTCTAAAGAATAAAGCTTCTAGTTGACAATGTATTTGAAAAAGTTCCTATAAAAGAGTAGACTATGTCATGCTGTTGTTTTGAACACCAACTCTGAGTTGCTAAACTAATAAAAGGATTAATTGTGCATAATTATTTGTGCAAGTATGTTTATCTTAGAACATATCATACATGATACTTACTAGGCACATGTTCGCACAGTTTGATGGTCTTATACTCAGGAGTGAAAATGCTGAGCTGTAGGGTATACATTTACCTCTAATTGTCCATCCACATGGTAAGAATCATGATTAAATAGATAGTTTTTAAACAAGGAGGTAATGATGCATATTAGAATATATAAGTATTAAATAAAGATCATGTAAATATAATAGTTGTATAAGAAACAACTTATATATCAGATATTGATGCAGTTGGCATTACAAAGAAGTGAAAAGGGATGAACTATAAAATTAATCTAAAATACTTCATTATTAATATGAAAAAATTAAATGAATTTCTACCTCACACTACATTAAATATAATGAGTACCTATATTTCAATTGCTATCAAAGAATGAATATAAAGTTTTAAATTTTTCATAAATATATGGTTCACTACCATACAGGAAAGTGGATCTTTATTTTTTAAATTTGGGTATATTTGGTTAAACCATAGTGTAAAGCACATTACTTACTAACCAATGCTCCACAAAATACAATCAGGGATGGAAATATCCAAGTACTATAATAACTGGATAAGTATACACTATTGATACACTCTTATTCTAATTCCTGATGACATCAAGATTAACTTTCTATCTCACTTTCTTAATTAATTCAAGCATAAGCATTACACTCTAGTTGCTGAATTGATTCTATTTTCCAAAGCCACAAACTTCCTCTTGTCTCTGTACAATCTTCTGCACGTACAAGCTTCATTATAAGGCATTTGTGGAATGTGCATTTTTGGTATTGTGTGTGTGTGTGTTGAAATAGTATCAATATCATGCTGTGCTACAGTGGATTCTACTGGGGTATCCCTACTTATGAAAATGCAAGGTGCTCCCCTGATAAGAAATACAAATCCATCCTTCCTCAGCCTCCCTTATTGTCTAGAACATAGAATGATTGGTTGACATTTTCAAGGTGATTTTCTCAAAAAATCATGTTTTAAAAATTGACACAGTAATAGTTTTCTATACAGTAAAAGTAAGACATTTGAAAATCATAATAAGCAGAAACAATATTTAAATAATAGGAGACATTTTCAATGTACACAAAGGACAAAGAAATAAACTTTACATTATATGAAGAATGTCTATAATGTAATAAATAAAATACACACCACCTAACAGAAAAGCAGGAAAAAAGACATGATCATGGGTTTTGCATAAGGGATTTCTGAAGTAATAATTGTGACAATGGCTGTTCTATTGGTACAATGCAGCTCTCCTAGTGGGGAGATGACTTTTAATTGTGAAGAAATTCAGGAATTCAGATCAGTTATCTCAGAGAGCTTCATATAATTTATTGCCATTCAACAGAGGCAGAGATCCGCATGTTTCTTCAAAGTCTTTACCAGAAAATAATGCAAATTCTCTTTCACTGGAGAAAAGGTTTACAGAAAATGTGAGCTAAAATTGCTCATATAGTACTTTTCCCCATCCCTGGACAAAGTTTCTTGTAATAACATCTTGCATTGGTGTAGCAGATTTGTTACAACTGAACCAATATCAGTACATTATTATCAAATAAAGTCCATAGTTTACATGAGATTCAACCTTTGGGCTGCATGGTCATGATTTCTCTACTTTCTGCTTTTTCTTTTGCTTCAACAAATACACAGGGTCAAATAACTACTGTTACAGCATCATAAGAAACATTTTCTTCCCTAAAATCCCACCTGTTTACCCCTCCCACTTCCCCACACCAAATCCTTAACAACTACTGATTGCTTTATTATCTCCATAGATTTGCTTTTTCTAGAATGTCATACAGTTCATATCACATCATATGTAACCTTTTCAGACTGACTGCTTAGAATAACTATTTTAAGAAAGAGTTCAGTAGTAGTGGTTAAATTGAATAAACACATTTCCTATAACCAGTAATTTTCTGGGTATACAATTTACAGAATCTTTTCCATATCCACTCTGGATGAATTCACGATAATATTCATAATACAATTTTCATAGCAAAATACTGAAAGAAAACAGCATGTTCATGAAAATTAGAGGAAGCAAGTATTGTATTGTCATAGTGAAATGTGTAAATGTAGAGATAAATTTCACAAGGACAAGAGCAGACGACAAAAGGAAAATGTAGCAGAGTAAATATAGTCTTATTTGATTTGCGTGCAGTTCTGGAGCAGGAAAATTGATAAATCAATGCGCAGTGTTAAAAATCACTAAGTTTTATTTAAAAGTGATCATCTGAAATTCAAAATATGACAATCTGAACATCTACACTTACAAGCACATCTTATGTAAGCACATATTTAAACTGTATATATCTTATGTCTGAATACTATTTCAATATTTTTATGAAGACTAAATATTTCCAATAAAGTGGAGAAAATGTTCCTCAGATTTGAAAAATAGTCACTATTCCAAATAGTGAATAGTCACTTGACTATTCACTTCACAGTCACAGTAGTTTGAATTCCATTTCCTTAAATTTGGTAGCTCAGTAGCACTATTAAACCTTTAATTTCTTTGTCTACACCAAAGGCTAGAATTAAGCAAAATAATAAATAGAGAAATATTGCAGACAATAATGAATTTACAGAAATGAGGATAAGTACCTTTGATTTCGGAGGCTAAGTACTGATAATAAAAGTTTGCCATTTCATATAGGAGCATGGGACACTATATTAAAGTGGTCACAGAAATAATTTTTATTTAAAAATAGATTAGAGTTTGACTCAGCTATGCAAATGTTGTGCCTGCTCAGTTGAGGATGCCTAGGATTCTTGACATCCTTTCTAGCTCTTCTTTAGCCCAAACCATTGATAGAATCTCTTGATCATCCATAATAATATCACCCTGAGGAGTATCTACTCCTCAGGTATTTCAAATATTTACCCCTATTGTGCTTCACACTCATCTGACACTCCTGGGACTTTGAGGGCTTCAATCAACTCCCTGTTTATACGTTTGACCTATACCCATTCTATCTGGACCATGTCTGGGCCTTCTACAGAAAACCCATCTCGTTTTACTTTGTGATAAGCCACACTGTCTTTGAAAAAAAAAGTCATATGCCTAGATACCATCTCTCTTAAAAACACCTAAAAATTTGGAGAAAAATTGATGAAAGGCGTTGGAAGTTTACTAGATAGAGAAAATAAGCTATTGAGCCTATACATAATTACCATGTATTGCAAGTTTCAAAAACCTGGAAGAAGAGATTTTAAATAATTTCATCAAGAAGAAATTATAAATATTTGAAGAAATATGTGTGTTTACTTTCACTGGAAGTTTGCACAACTTACACTGCACAGAAATATTATCCAGTAGCCTAAAAATGTGTCCAATTTTTAATAAATAATATTAAAAATCTACAAACAAAACTAGATTTCTAGTGAAAACTACTCACAAAAATAAATTACAAGAGTATCAGCAATGTAAATACAAAAAAAGTTAAATTTTCCATTAGAAATATTTTTGTTATCTTCAAAAATGAAAAATGCTTTGGTATATGATGCCAGAAAATTACCCAGTTAAAACAAACTAAAAGCCAGGAAATACAAAAAAAAATTTAAGGTTTCTAAAATAAGAACATCATGTGAAAATTAAAATGCTACAGATATGTTTATAAAAACCATTTCCAAGTTTCTCAAAATCAACAAGAAAATAAGAGACAAAATTATCTCAGGGATGAAATGCAGGCTGAGAAGAGAGTGCCACCTGAAAATTCACCTAGAAACAGAAATTTAGAGACAAAATGATTCATATCTAGTATTGAAAGGTTCTCATATCCAGTTCATTATGGAAGACAATGTCTGTCACACTGAAAAGGGTCCTCTACTGAGAATGTTTCCCAGTGCTCCTTTCACATCCCAGTTCCTTAGACTGTAGATGAAGGGATTCAGCATGGGTGTGACCAGACTGTATAACACAGCCACAATAACATCCTTGTCATTGATGTTATTGGATGAAGGTACAAAGTATAACCCAATAATTGCTCCATAGTACAGGGAAACCACAGAGAGGTGAGAGCCACATGTGGACAGGGCTTTACAAATTCCCTTGATGGAGGGAGTTCTCAGAATGGTAGCCCCAATGTAGCCATAAGAGACCAGAATGCATATGAATGGCAGGGTAATGACTACCATTCCTACAGTGAGGATAACCAGATCGTTGATGGTGGTATCTGAAATGGACAACTTAAGTAAAGCAGAAAGGTCACAGAAGAAGTGATGCAGAGTGTTGTCTCTAAAGAGAGAGAGATGAACTAGGAGGAGGGTGTGCACAAAAGAAAAGGAAAAAGATAAGACCCAGGACACAATTACTAGCAGGAAACAGATACTCTGACTCATAACTGTGATATAGTGCAGTGGATGACAAATGGCCACATATATGTCATATGCCATTGAGGTGAGAAGGAAGCTGTCAAGACCACCAAACATTAAGAAAAAATATGCCTGGGAAATGCACCCAGCATAGGAGATGGATTGACTCTGTGTCAGCATATTCATCAGCATCTTTGGAGCTGTGACAGATGAGAAAGAGACGTCAGTGAAGGCCAAGTGGCTGAGGAAGAAGTACATGGGGGTGTGGAGGTGAGAGTTCAGCCTGATGAGCAGAATAATGAGCAGGTTCCCCAGCACTGTGGTCAGGTACATGGCCAGGAAAAGAGAACAGTACATGCCTTGTTCCTCTGGTTGGATGGGGAACCCCAGGAGGATGAATTCAGACACACTGCTCTGATTATCCCTCTTCATGTTCCCTTTCCTGCAGAGAAAAAAGCAGTGTATAAAAGAAAGAGAAATCATTATGTACATTACATAATAAAACCATAGATTTGACCTAGTAAGTACACGCACTTTACCCTGCATATCTCGAGCTCTTGGCCATACTAGTGAGCTAGTGATAGTCTGGGAAAATCTTGTTAATTGTCCCTATCAGAATAAACTCAACATACTTTGAAGAAATTATGAAATATCACAATGACCATTATATCAGACCAGATCCAAACATGAAGAGTCCAGGAGTTGATAATGGTCAACTGAGTTTAGGGAATAGGAGTACAAGGTCAATAATGAATTCATAGGAAAACTAGTATCTGACATCTAATGGTCTGTTGGTCTGACTTAACATCCCTTGGGCCACTGAAGGAGACATTGTTTAACACTTTATTTCTGTGCACTGGATCAAGATGAGAGAACCCAGTGACCTGCTTTGAATTTCCATGGTATCAGGATTCAGTGGCTTTTTGGAAATACCATATAGAAGATTGAGCAAGGGCATCACTTGCTTGAATCCAGGTTAATAGTAATATATACATATATATATTATTATATATATATGCCTTGTAACACAACTGTCAGTTCTTTTGGAAAGTTATTTCCTGCTCAGAATTTTCAGTCATTTATCACCCTTTTTAAAACAAGTCTTCATAGAATGTGAGGGAAAAAAAACCTTTGTCCATAGTCCAGTTTCCCACCTGATATGTTCCTTTGGCTTAAACAAGATTACTCTCATTCAAGTCTGTTGAACATCTGGAAATACTCAACTTTTCCACTCTTTCCATTTCTGTCATAGAGGAGGTTCTCTGTAAACTGATGTCTAGCACAAACAAATAACAAATTTCTTTTTTGTGGTTCCAAACCTTGGTATTATCCCAATGATATTTAACATATATTTTTTGTGTTATATGTATAACATTTCTTATACTTTGCAAATACTATGATTCATCCTCTTTATCACTCAAGTTAGTTGGTCTTACACTTATCAATGTGCACAGCCACAATATAGTGGAGAAATAAAAAAAAATGAAATGTCTACTAAAAGTAGACTTCATCTATAAAAACAAATCTATGTAAAGATGTTTCCAATATGAATGCCTTGATTTTTTAGGGCTATGGTATGTCACTACCAGACCCATTACACATTTTGGGAGTTAACTAAAGTTTACATTAAGGTACAAATTCCTCCAAATGGACTGAAATTATCTTTAAAATTCACAGATTCTTCAACCAATTACATGCAAAATTCTGTTACATGAATTGTTACCTGTGATAGATTATAGTCATGTTTCTCATTTCCATTTATTTGAAATCAATTTTAATTAATGAAAAAGGCAGTTAGCTGTCTGTTGGACATGTTGTTTCTACTCTTAATGATTTCTAGAAATATTACAAAAAGAGTATTTTTGCTATGTCCGTTTACACCCTAGTATATTTATCTGCATAGAAATGGTATTGAATAGAATCTATACTCATGATTTTGATAGACTAACTATAAAAGACAAAAGTGATGAGTAAGCCTATTATGTTTCTTTAATATAAGAGTCTGTCACCTGAAAATAATAAAATGGGAATTCTAGTTATGTATTTGTGGAGGGAAGGGATTGGAATTTGAGGAACAGAAAAAAATTCAAGAGTATGGTCATTTATGGAAAGACACAGATTACAGAACTATTGAAGAGCTGGAATATATAAAGCCTTTTCTGCTAAATAGAACTAAACATTCTGTTGCAGTACACACAAGTAAAGACTTAACAACAAAGTGTCTAAAATTTTTTAAAAGTTTGCTATCTACTGGGTAGATATCTTCTGTTGTAGCAAGGCAAGAGTATCAGCAGGAATCTAAATCAGAGGCTATTGTAGAAATTTAGGTACAAAATATTACCTGTTTCCACCTGAATAGTTGCAGCAGAGATGCATAAAATTATAGAGATTTGAGAGAAAACCCAACAGGACTTAATGCAAGTTAAAGGAAACCAAAAGGAGAAATGTTTTCCACTATCCTCTCAAAATTTAATATAGAATCACTTAAAAATAAATTACCTTACATGGCCATTTGGTGACACCCAAGCCTCTCAAAATTTGGATAGATATTCAAGATAAATTATTATTCAGGGAGATATTTGCAATACTATGGTAGGAGAGGGTGTAACCTAGGGATATGAGGCATACACTGGACAAAAACAAACAAACAAACAAAACGAGATGCATATAGTACCACTGAATGCATATTCTATTCTTGGTCTAACATGGCCCCTTCAAAGATGAGCACAGATACCGTCAGCTACAAGGCATGGGACAATTCTTCCATTTTGTCTAGAAGGTATGGAACACAGGCAAATAGATGGAATCTCTAAGAGGATCAGAGTTCTATTGTAAGAGGTAGAAGATTTATCAGTTCAGAGCTCAACTAGATAGATATATGAAGACACATTTGGTCAGCTCCTGGCAATTTGTGTGAGTTTTGACTTTGCAAACCATGGGAAGGACCCAGGGGCAAACCTCTATCCCCAGTTTGAAGGTAGAGACAAACTGGGTATAATTGCATTGAGTTTCCCTGGGGGTAGAACTTTTTGTTGAAAAAGGCACTGGAGATTTTACCCTTGAGAAATAATGAGTATAAACACAAGGCAGTTATTAGGAACATAGTGGTTCACAAAGCTCTTTATTTTCCTGACTACTAAATGGCAAAGGGTGATTCAGAATCCATAACGCACCAAATGGATGTGTCACTGTGGTAACCAAAGTCTCTTGGTTCTGAACTCCATGCTATTTCAAAAACCCAGAAACACTCTAATGGATGTTTTGGGTCACTTTCTGACCCAAAGAGTGAGGGAAATGATGGCTCATAATCACTGCTCAGCCCCCACGGGATAGGAATGTAGTTTCTATAAATCTCAGTCTCTTTCCCAAAAGCTGCTGAATTGGCATTCTATTGATGCAAGATTTTCACAATATCATAAAATAACCATTCAGTGTATGATTTCCCCACAATATCCTTAAATGTTATCCTTAAATTAATTTCATACATCTCCAGCTCCATTTCCTCGATGCCTTCCAGAAAATGAATATCAGATGCTCATTATTTAAGGTGAAGATGTGTGAATATAAATGCTATTGTTCCTGTTCATATTAAAAATCAACCTTTGGTGTGAGCTGCTGTCCAAACAAAGACATTCTGTAAGATATTTAAACTTCAGAATGGTTTCTGGGTACTACAGATTAAGTTTTACCATCTATTGCCCACTTGATAGTGCTACTGTCTGTTCCTAAATGTCAAGGTTGACAAAACTTTAAGTGAGAAGGATATCATTGGCACATTCTTCTTTTTCTGCAGTTGTGAAGACAAAAAATTTAAATGGTGCATTGCAAGAATTCTCACTTGATTAAGCAATATGGGAAATATTGTTTCTTTGAATTAACAAATGACCTTCCTATTCCTCCAGGTACCAGATACCATTTCCCTGAAGACCTTCTTCTTTATCTTCTTCCACACAATTTTTTTCACATCTTACTGAGTCTTGTTCAAAATATGCCTCCTGTAATAGCTGATTATTTAATAATAAAATATTCTTATGTGTTCAGACACAACAGTATTGAAAGCAAGCAAATAAGATTAAAAAGAATGTCAGAGAATAGAACTTCATATGGGCTAATGCCCACATAAAGGTTATCAACATTATTAATAACAAGAGATCAACAAAAGAAAGTTTTGATAAGGTTCCATTGTATATCAAGAGCTTGGTAAAGTTATATTTGATGATACTCTTTGTTGAAAAATGATGTGTATTAACTGGGAACATTAATGGCCTTTAATAATGAAACAAATATGATTTACAGGAAAAATGTTCATTGCAATGGACCATGCTTTCAATTTGTGTATTGCAAAGATATGATTCACATGTATACTTGGAAACATAAAGAAAGTTCACCATTGTGAATAGTGGAAAAAGTGGGAACAATTTTAAAAATAACTGCCATGGTTTGTCTTCCTAAAAAATATTGTAAAGTAATTATATGACATGTATATCATAAATGAATTGAAGAAATATATTAATGGCTAGGAATAAAATCACAATTCTGGCAATTTAATCAAATGCAAAAACATAATAAAGATTTGCAAGTATATGCATTTATATGTGCTTAATATTAGTGTCATCCATACACCTGAGGGTCTACCATATAACTAAACCAGGGGTTAGGCCCTCAATATATACCATATATATAACCATGAGTATATGGCTCCAAGGAAACCTCAGTTGAAGAAAAACCACCAATGCTCTGGATGAATAAAGTTCATACTATACTGTGAATGCTTGATTCATTTTTTCTATTATGCCACTTAACTTCTAGTAAACATATGCCACCTTTCAACAAATCCAAAAGTATTACATTATCACTTCAACAAAGCACATTACATGCCCTTTTTGTCTTGAGATGTTTAACATGATTTTATCTTGATTTTGGGGCACCATTTCTATGTGGGAGGCATATTTTCACAAAACAAAGGTCAGGGAAGCCCTCAGCAGATACACATTGGTTTAAACACAACTCACAATAATGCATGACTGACTGATAGCTTCTGCAACATCAACTGAACGGTGTGATGCATCTTAGAAATTTAAAAATTTTGGTTTTGAAATTTCTTCTGATTCTTTTCATTTATTTTTTTACCACACTTGACCAAAATCACATGTAACAAATCCATCAATGATGCAGGCTTAGGATATCCAAGATGGCAACTAGGGCACAGAAGCAGACAGCATGAGCTCCGTGACTCCAAACGCTGGAGCCACACTTGGCAGAAATAAAGCAGCAAGGAGAATCAAACCTTTGATGCCCTGAACCCCTAACCCATAGAAAGCTTCTCCATGTCACATTACACTGGGAAAACAGGAGGGCTGCTACACCACCAGATGCTGGCTCCACACCTGCTTGGGAGACATTCAGCAGACCAAGAGGTGAGCACTAAGCAT